TGGCCCGGCGGTTGTCTCTCCAGCAGCATCCCTTCTGCATAATGACAACACTGTTGTGGCAGGTTTGCCAGCCATTTGCTTTCACATTTTGCAACATGCTCGACTTCTGCATGTCGCTGAAGTTCCAGATAACACCACTACAGTTAAATAAAAGATGCTGTTCACTCTAATTCTTCACTAATTCAGGTACCTTTCATCTGAATCCTTAGGTTCTGTGGGGTTCATGCCTTGGTGCTCTAAAAAACAATACAAAATTAAAACTGAAAAACCCACTTTTCTTGTCTGTAGAGAGGAGGCAAAAAATAATGATCTAAAAATGCTTGTCCAGTGGTTTTTATTTGAACCCAATAAGAAGCTGCAATAAATACTGGGTCATTCAGCTCCTTCCTGAAGAATTAAGGTGAAGAGCATTTTTGCATCACACTTTGTTTTGTGGAACGAAACACACATGACTGCTTCCGCATGAGCCTGTGCTTTTTCTGTTACCAAATGGTTTTACTCCACTCCTTCCTCACCTATGCCCACTCTCTAATAGGCACTACTAAAATGCTTTGTGCTACCTTGATTTAAAATGCATGAGATGGTTTGGAATTGCCCCTACCACTACCCAACAAATGTCTGTTTTCAAAGCACGGCCCAGGGGACTGGATTTTACTTACAAATGTGAATTTAGTGACATGGAGTATTATGGCATTTGCCTTAATTTTAATCATGGGTGAGCTGAAAGGCCAGTTATTTATTGTAAAACAAAAAACCACGAGCTCAAATGCCAGCTGGGGATGTTGAGCTGAAGCCAAGCTGATTTTTTGGGGCTGCCTTTCCTGAAGCTGGTTGAAAAGGGAAGTAGATTTGGTGGAGCAGGAATAGCTCAAAAAGGTGCACTGTACTGTCGGATTACATTTTCCTGCAGAGTATCCTACTTTTCTAAACATAGTCTTGTCATTAGTAGTACTTGAACTATCCTGTTGTGCTAAATATTTTAGGATTTGGTTTTGAGGGAGAAAGAAGCATCTTCTGAAAATGACTGAATCAGTTTGTCTTTATTTCTTCTATGCTCAAACCTTCACTCCAGCTGGACTAGCAGTGACGTGGCTGATTCCAGGAACTGCAAAACTAAACTCGGAGACCTGAGTTAAATAGAAGGTTGGGTTAGATGATCTCTTCTGGCCATAAATAACATTACTATAGCATTGCACAAGAACCACTTTAGTTGTTACTGCAGCACCCTTTTCTCCGTTCCCTTGAAACACCAGCTGGGATGTGCATGGGCAAGAAAGGGGGAAATGGTGAAGGGTTTGACTTTGTGGGACTGTGCACAGCATGCAGCTGGTTTAGATGTGCCAAGGGCTGTATTTCTTAGGATGCTCTCCCCTTTTTGGAGTCAAGGTTCAGAGCCTGCTGGGAAGTAAAGCATAAAGCAATCAGGATGCACAGAAGGAAGAGGGAGAAAGTGGAAAGAAGGTTGATGGGCTGCTGTTCTGTTTGGTTTTCCCTAGACACCAGTGAAATGCTGGAGATGCAAGGCTTCGGGGCAAACCTGCTCTCCTGGCAGCTGGAACACTGCAGCCAGGGCTCCTCCTGTGTCTCCTGCTCAACGGGCAGCTCTCCCTATGACATACCCAGCTGCTGCAGCTGCATCCATGACAGGTAAGCAGTTGTGTAGAGGCTTACCAGGGAGACTTTGTGCGTGCCACAAAAGGTTGTATCGGTTGCAGCGCCAGAGAGTAATAATTTTCAAGTAGTTTCTAACATAATAATGGAGGTAGCAAGAAATTTAGTTTATTTAAACTATTAAACTACTTTCAAGTCACATTTTGGTAGAAAAATTACTTCTAGTTCTTTTGTCTAGTTTAATATAATTCAGCTCTGGAAGTGTTTTCTTTAACGAGTCATTGACAATTACAAGGAAGGGCAACAATTCATCTCACTTGACAAGGACCTTTAGCATGCACCTGCATTGTAGCTACATGTGCCAGGTGAATCTGTTTTGGGCCAGAATGCTGATGGGAAAGATGCTTTCAAAAGTGTAATTTGTCATTATTACTGTCCTTTAGCTAAATAAATCTTGGTGCAGAGAAACGTAGATCATAGGGGTCAGCATCAAATTCATGATGATCTCTGTCCTCGTGACCTGTTAATGTGTCTCCACAGAACTCCATTAAAGATGTTGTGTGACAGCATGAAGAGGCAAATAGTTTCCAGAGCCTTTTATGGATGTAAGTGAAGCTGCTTCTATCCCATCCTCATGCTATCCATATGCTTATCTAAAACCCATGTGATGTTTGCTTTAGAAAGCGGTCCAAGCCCTGATGTATTGGTGTGAGTCAGCTCACCTCAGGGCAGCAGGGTGGATGTGGCTTGAGTATGAGCTTCACAATTCCATTATTTGTGGGGTTTGCACATAGCAGTGGGTGAACTGATGCTTAGTGAGGACAGAAAGTAGTTTTACATTGCAGTGCAATACTCTGCTTGGATTTTACTAGTGTGTGTAAGATTTATTTAATCTTTGGCTCTGTTGCAATTCTTCGTTCTTACGCAGCACAATGCAGGTTTAGTCGTACAGGATTACTAGTGGCAGGTTGAAAATGTCACAGCTTCATCTCCAGAAGGGAGCTGCTGATATTAGACTGCTCGTTTCTCAAAGCTGCCCTCCCGCCCTCCACAGGGCTTGCCTACTGCCGCCACTTGTCAACGGTGCGCACACATCTCTCTGCCCTTGTGAACCACACCATTGTCCCACCTGACAAACCCTCCAGTGCTGCCGGAGGCCTGACGAAAGAGGTGTGGAGCAAGTATCAGAAGGACAAGAAGGTAAGTAAGCAGCAGAAAAGCTTTCTGAGTGCTACACTAGTTCCTGTACACTGCTGCGGTGAGTGTGATGTCCCTTAGAAGGGACCCCAGGAAGATTTAGAGGTGTTTTCTAGTCCTCACAGGATCACTTCTCTTTCTAGTGAGAGTCGATTCTTACAGTCTCTTTTATCTGTTAGATAGATATCTATTAGATATTACATACCTATTAGATACCTATTTTATCTGATAGATATCAATTAGCATCAAAGCAACTGGTCTCATGATGGCTCTAGTTTGTTAAAAGGTAGATTATTTCCATGGCATGACAACTCATGTTAGACTGGATTTGAGTGAGGGCCCTAAAGGCTTGAATCAAGTGGCAAAATGTATTTAGTGCCATGTATACATTTCACAGTCTTTATACTTGATACTAACTGCATATGAGCGTGCCTGGGGAAAACAAAGATGTATTCCCTTCAATGCCTCTTTCTCCTGATGCTGTAGAATTACAAGGAACTGGAATTACTGAGAAGAGTCTACTATGGTGGAGTGCAGCACGAGATTCGGAAGGAAGTGTGGCCGTTCTTGTTGGGTCACTATAAATTTGGCATGGCCAAAAAGGAAATGGAGCAGGTAAGTACAGCACTCTGGGAGCCCCATTACGTTTGGTTTCTGAATAGCAAGTGTTAGTCTCTGTTGTTGTTTAATATTCCTAAGGGAAAAATGCTACTGAAAACATGAGTGACGTGTTAGTAGAGGGATTATGATATGTTATCATGTCTGAAAATCACTAAAAGGGAGTTCTTTATTGAAGTCAGGGAACCTGCATTCAGCCTGTGCCTGTGACATGCACTTGCCCTGAACAAATCCTGTTCTCACAAGTTTGTCACGTAAACCAGGAGGTGCTGACATTTGGATAGTAATTTGAGGCATCCCTCTTTTATATGGTGTGTCATCTGAGCTGTACTTCAGAATGCTCTTTGAAATAACTACTTTATCAGCAAGAAGCCGCATCTGTGTGTGTGGACTTCTGCTGGAGCTGTGAGCAGCCCAGACGTACCTTCTGAAGTGCACTTGGAGTTACTGTCTAAAGGCTAAAAATACCCAGAGGAGGGTTTGGTTTCTAAGTTCATTATGCTTTGCTAGACTTCAATAAGACGTGCCTCTCTGAAACACAACGTGCAATTTCAGATGAGACATTACTCTTCTTAATATCTCCCAGGCTGCTGCTAACATTGATCAGTGAATAATTGCCTAGGTTATGTCACAGCCTTATTTCACAGTCTGAAACCTGGCATTAAGTATATAGTTCCCATTAATGAAACCACAATTTGCCCATCTCTTCGTTACACTATCTCCCTTTGCTAATCTGTTTATAGCAGTACCAACTTTTTACTTTGCTAAGTGCTTTCATCTGTTATAATTACCAGGCAAGTGTCTCAATAATACAGCAGCCTGGTAACAAGCAGACAGAAGGTGGCAGCCAGCCATCCCTTCAGTGAGCTGCACTCACCAGCAGAAACTGGACGTGCTCCTAAGGCAGAGTGTTGAGGATACAGCAGAACTTACTTCTAGATGCTTTTCGTAATGACATTAAGAATCACCCAAATGTTTGCTGAACTGTCTACACCAGTAATGAGGTTTGCCTTGAAATGTAATTAACACATTAATCTGCTTCTCTGTTAGTGTTATTACCAGGGAGGTAGTACTTATGCAGTAGCTGATCCTGTTCTGGATTAAATGGATAAGGATATCAAAACATTTGGCATTTGCTAGCTCCCAATTATTTTATATTCCAAGGGATAATTCCTATCCCTGTGAGCACCTGCAGATCAGAAGGGCAGCCTGAGCCAGAGCCTTGTAATGGCAAAATCAGCTACCTTGCTAAAGCGGGCACTTCATAAGCAGCATTCTTGTTATTAAACATTGCTGCAGCAATTTGACTTGGTTTTCCTCACACTAATCTTCATTAGCCAGTTCTGAACACAGATGGAGAAATGCCCCACTTACGTGTTCACCCTTTTCTGCACACCAGTAGTAAATAACAGTAATAACCAACTGCTCAAAGAAAAGTGCTGTTGGAGTCTAAAGCTTTCCACTGAATGTGAGAGTCTGTTAACTGAATGGCAGGAACCCAGTCATACACTCTTACATCCAGGACACTTACCATGTCCTCAGCTCAAGCCATTGCGGGTGATTTATCATCTTTGCCTTCTGATGGTATTTTTGCAGCCATCCATCAGTATCACTCCCAAACGTGGCCGTCCTCCAGCCTTCCACTAACTGTTGTATTTCATGATTTATGACTCGACAGCTACCTCAAGTGACAAATAGCCTACAGCTCCTAGCATGAGTGCTCTGGTAGCAGCTCTAGCCAGCAAGTCCAGAGCCTGAAGCCAGCTCACAATTGCATTTTCTCTTTGACTCTTGACAAGTAACAGAGTAGTAAAATTATTATATGTTGCTTAATAGCACAAGGAGGGGGGTTCTATGGATGTCTTTCAACAAAGGGAGCCAGCAGGGTCAAAAATCTGGGAATCAGAGTGGTTGGATCTGGCCATGCACAGTGCAGCCACAGGCCTGGGCTGTGTGAGCTGGGAATTCCACTGTTCGGGAGTCTCTTCCAGCAGCTAACTCTGTACAGGCTGATGCCTGTAAAGCTGCAACCTGCAGTTCATTGCAAGGGCTGTGGTAGAGTTGGAATAGAGAAGGAATAGGGAAGGAGGTGTAATGGAATTAGGAGTAATCTGGCCAGAAGCAACCATTGCTCCATTAGATTGCATCTGACTTCTTAAGGAGGGTTTCACATGAAAGCCATGGCCACCTTCTGTTCTTTCCTGAACAAAGTGCTGTTGATGCCATCTACACGTGCTTATATGAATCTTTTCTGGCAACTACAGTGATAGTTTATTCCCTGCAGTAAATACACAACATCTTACTGCTCTGAGCACTGCACTTTCCAGTCACAGTGATGTGCAAGAGGGCTTCATGATTCCTCAGGCCTTCCGTTTGAGACATTACACTTGCTTTACACCTCTCCCTCCTGCCTTCCACTCACTGTTAATGCTGTCTTTCAAAGAGGACCAGCATTTCAGGGTGTCTGTCTGTCTGCAGGTGGATGAAGACATTGCTCTCCGGTATCAGAAGGTGATGGCTGAGTGGAAAGCCTGTGAGGTCATTGTGAAGCAGCGAGAGAAGGAATCCCATTGTGCCACGCTGGCAAAGTTTTCCTCAGGCAGCAGCATTGACAGCCACGTCCAGCGGCTCATTCACAGGGACTCCACCATCAGCAATGATGTAGGTGCTCCTTCCACTCACCCGGCCGGTGTGGGCAGCGCGGGAGGCTTGGCAGGAGCAGAGGGGCAGCCCAGGGAAGCAGAGACTGACATTAGCACAGCTCTGTGAGTCCGGAGCTACTCGAGTCCTGCACAGATGGGAAGCTGTAGAGCCTCTGTAAGAGAGCTCAGAGCTCTGTATTTTGGGTAGTCCATAGCTGGTTTTAAGCAGGACCTCCCTAAGAGGCTTTAAGGATCACCTACTGTAGAAGATCCTTCTCTCAGTAGAGAAATAGTTTTCTAGATCTCTTTATTATAGGTCCTTTATTCAAATCCAGCACAGAGCAAAAGCTCACTACTGTTAAAGCATACTTCTGATTCTGTCATGTCCCTGATTGAGGGATTGAGGGTGATTTTATTTTGGGAGAGGGGACGTTTGTCAATCTAAGGTAAGATGCTAAGCAGTAGAAAGGCAGACTGACTTAACCTCTCTGTAACTTGAATAACCAAGAAAGGGGGTTCTTTCACATTGTTGGGCAGGAGAGCTGGCATGTGTGTGCCAGAAGTGTCTCTGGGCATCCATTACTTGTACAGACTTCCATGAGTTAGCTGACTGATTTCAGTAAGAGAAGAGAAATTGAAGTAGTTCAACAAAGAGGTTTCTAGGAAGAGAAGAGGTAAAGTGGTTGCATGGTGAAAAGAATTTGAAGCCCAGGCTTGATTTAAACCAGCAGTAGCTGAATTGTCAGAGGCCGTGGGTTATGTTGGTTTTCTTCAAAGATACATTGCAATGACCAGACGTTTTTAGTGTTGGTGTTGCAGGTAGAGAAGCTTCACAGCTTTCCAAGGCATTTCTAATTGAAGATTTTGAAAGGGGGAGACACCACCATAGGAAATGGCTATGAGATCATGAATTGGTACTAGTTTTAGACTTACAGTCTCAGAACAAAGATGGAGTGAGGAGCTCTCAACTATTTGCATGCAGGGAAGCTCGATTATCCGTGATCTGCTTCACTGATGATGTCATTCCTGTCCCATGCCTGGAGAGACGTTCGCTGCACTCATGTTTTGTGCTTCTCTATTCCCTTCCCCATCCCCGCTCTCTCCCCTGCCCACCCCCAGGTCTTTATCTCCGTGGATGAACCAGAGTCCGTGGAGCGGGACTCCAAGGGGCAGGATGTTCCCTTCACCGCGGTGGCCGCGGACACGCCGGCGG